TATAGGAGATAGGCATTTAACCAAACCGAGGACGTCAAAGAAGCAAATAAACGCCCGTGAACGTCTCAATGAGAGCGGGATATAGATAGATGCTCGCAATGCACACGGAACGCGGGCCAGATACCGAGATTGTGTAATGTAGCCGTCTCAACACGAGCCAGGTATTGGACATGTGTAGAGCATGTAGAAGAGAAGGGTGCTCATTTGATATATAGATATCGCTTCTATTACCGATTGAGGCTATGTCTCCTATTATCCCACTGTTAACCTCGGTATCAAGAACTGTCGAGATGAATAGAAAAACGATCCGCTGTCTAAAGGGCCAAGATCTCATGCGCGCCTATACGCATAAAGCAGATAAGCGCAGAGATAAGCGACTGCTTTCGCGATCGAGCGCGATCGTCGGCGAGGACCGATGCCAGCGTCATCGCGCGCATTGGCTCTCTGTACTTGGCAGAAGTCAACGTCGAGAAGACAGCTAAAGAGCACTTACAGCTACAGTTTGGCCTGCGCGCGCCCATCGGACAAGGCCCGCCCGCACGTGAGTTGATCGAACCAAGCCGTATTCCCGATCATTTACGATCTTGTTGCCTTTCCTGGAGGTTCCTGGAGGTTTGTTGTCAATGTCCTTTCAGTTTTGTCATATGTACTGACAATTGTGGCTCTTCTTATACAGGGTGAACAGAGTTATATGAAAGAATGTGCGACGAGTTAGGCAGCAAGAGGACGACAGGTTGAGCAAAGACGTGCGTGTGCGTAGGGATCGCGTGTGACGGACGGTTTGAGTAAATGTATGTTTGAGATGCGGGAGCAGCGGTCGCGGTGTCTGCCGTGACTTTGGAATGTATAAAGCAGACATCAATATCCCCACATCTCTCCACACCGGATCTTTTTCCCCCTATCCCATCGTCATGTCCTCCGTCGTCGACAAAATCAGTTCACCACAAGCTATAGCCGGTGTCGTCCTCGCTGCTACTCTCGTTGGCGCCCTTCATAGAAAATTAACTTACCGCCCACCCACACTACCACCTAGCCCACCAGAGGACTCATGGATATTCGGCCACAAGATCCCTTCTGCCTTCGCCTACCGCAAGTTTGAGGAATGGACCAAACAGTATGGTCCCATTTACTCGCTGCGCCAAGGAACCACTACCATTATCGTTATTGGTCGTTATGATGCCGCTGTAGACATCATGGAACGCGAGGGTGCACACCTCGTCGATAGGCCATTAAGCATTGCTGCCGGCGAGACCCTCTCGGGTGGCATGCGAGTCGTGCTCACACCTGCTGGCGAGCGATTCAAGAAAATGCGCAAGTGAGTTCATTATTTGAGTGTTTCACTTCAATTGTATACTCATTGTTTTGTACAGAGCGCTCCATGCATACCTTGCACCAAAAGTCGTCCAAACTTATGGCCCTGTCCTCATGAGCAATGCCCGCACCCACATCCTAGACATCGTAGAAAACCCAGATATTCACCAAGAACACGCAAAACGGTATGTTTGGCCCCTATTTGATGTATTTCACCCATGAACTTAATAATTCCATCTCCTCAGGTACTCTGCATCTGTCGTCATGGCTCTTGCGTACAACCGCCCCGCAGGCAAGCACGATGATCCCGAGGTCCAGGCCGTCATTCGCTGCCTCGTCCGCCTCGGCGAGAATGTCCGCCCAGGTCTCTGGGCCGTCGACAACTACCCCATCCTCCGCTACGTCCCCGGCTACCTCGATGAGCTCAAGGCTGGTCACAAAGAAGAACTCGGGCTGTTCAAGAAGCATCTTGCTGGTGTCAAGGCCCAAATGGATGCCGGCGAGGCTATTGGTGAATCCTTCGCCAAGTACCTCCTTGAGCGTCAGGAGACGCTGCAGCTCTCGGACGACGAGACTGCGTACCTCGCTGGTGCGCTCTTCGGTGCTGGATCGGATACCACGGCGTCTGCGATCTCAGTTGCTGTCCTTGCGGCTGCGTGCTACCCCGAGGCAGCGAAGAAGGTGCAGGAGGAGATCGACGCCGTCGTCGGTCGCGGTCGCCCTCCCTGCCCCTCAGACTACGAAAACAACCAGATGCCCCAACTCCACGCTTTTGTCCTCGAATCCTTCAGGTGGCGCCCCGTAACTGCTGGTGGTACGTTCTATCGCTTCTTCTCTGCTTACGGCTCGATCGCTAACTAAACCCTTAATCATCTAGGCTTCGCACACAAAGCGACCAAAGACATCATCTACAAAAACTACGTCATCCCCGCCGGCGCCTCGGTCATCGGGAACGTCTGGGCCGTCGGCCGCGACCCACAATACTTCCCCGACCCCGAGGCGTTCAACCCGCAGCGCTGGATCCGCGAAGACGGCACGCTCCGCGAGGAGCTCAAGTCGTACCCCTTCGGCTTCGGCCGTCGCGTCTGCCCCGGGCAGTACATCGCCACCGCCTCGGTCCTGCTCAACACCGCGCTCATCCAGTGGGCGTTCACCGTGCACAAGGACCCCAAGCACCCGATTGATGAGTATGCGTTCACGGAGAGCGCGAATGCGCATCCGGAGCGCTTCTGGGTGCGGTTCGAGCCTAGGACTGAGGGTGGATTGGATAGTATCAGGGAGGCGATGGAGGGATATGGAGAGGCATGAACGGTCGTGGGGTGATGATGAATTGGGGTGCCCGATGAGGGTGAGTGGAGATCGGTGAGGGTGGTTTGGTTGGGCCTTGGGTTTGGTTGGACTCGCTGAGGCCGATGACTTGCAACGTATCAATTGTATCAATAGTAGGCAACCATTTGTAACATCCACGCAATTTATTTTATAGTTTTTCTCTTGGCTCAAAATGAACTGCATGTCACCACAGGTAGGACAGGACAAGCGGGCCCTAATAATACCATTAAAACACTACAAACAGAGTAATGAATTCTCAAGCCTGCGCCATCAATAAACACACGGACCAGCAAAAGCCAGTGGCGCGTCCGAGTCGCCACAAGCGGACTCCTAAATCGGAGTCTTAAAGCACCTTCCCCTCCGACCAATCTTAACAATCCGCTTGTCTTGTGCAGAGACCATCTTGTGTCATGTCAACTAAGTTCCCTCGAGCTTTATCGCGGCAGCTGGTCAACGCACTCGAACGTTTGCTATAGCTTGATAGTAATATCCAAGCAGTCCTTTTCCAAGTGGGTTCCACTTCTCTTAATCACTGTTCGCGAGTCTTCTGCCTCCCCGAAGGTATTCTAGCCTCCCTCAACTCCTTCGGATCTGCAGCAACCTCGCTCTAGCTGTCTGGACCGCCAGGAACACGCTCCGAGCAGTCATTACTGCCGCGTTGGCGTAGTGGTAGCGCGTCTCACTCGTATTTCCTTCCACCTGGGAAGACATGAGAAGGTCACTCGTTCAATCCGGGTACGTGGCAATAGGACAGTTTCAAATACTGATTTTTGGATAACATTTCAAGATCGGCCTGTTTTTCTTGGTGAACGACGACCCTTGTATAAGTGCGCTTTAATTTTTCTATCAACCATCCATCCATTGAAGTCTTTAGAGTCTTTTTTTGGAAACAACGCTCCCACAAGCACTGACCTTAATATTCGAGAGCGGGCGCCCAATGTGGTTATGCTTCTGGAGCCCTCCAACAAGATTGCAATATACACCATCGACACGACATCACACGAGTCATAATCTAGAAAAACGAAGACGAGATCTCGAAGGATGGGCGTGAACGTATAAAACTCGTTGTTTCCCTATGACTTGATCTTTGAAAACTTTTGTAGTCGCAGTCGCGTTTCGGGCATGTTGCAACATTGCCGTGTCATTGTCTTCGACAACCGGTGCCCGAGAGCACCAGCCGCGTTGGCGTAGTGGTAGCGCGTCGCACTTGTAATGCGAAGGTCATTCGTTCAATCCGGGTACGTGGCATGGCCCTTCTTTTTGGCGGTTGAGGGCGTTGGGCTATCATGCGGAAGATGAGATGGAAGATGTTTATCTCAGATCTTCGATCATCTGGTCACTTGTCTATCACTCATATCAAAATATATTATAATCTAGATCTCGATGTCAGCCGCGTTGGCGTAGTGGTAGCGCGTCGCACTTGTAATGCGAAGGTCATTCGTTCAATCCGGGTACGTGGCATAGACAATTTTTTGGGACAAACCCTCCGATATTGAGGCAATTGTGCAGACAGGGCACCCTATGTAATAAGAGATCTGTTTTTGTGACCTTTCTGCGTCTGTGTACACTTTTCCCCCATCACCTTTCTGCATAATTGGCTTGGTGAGAACTCTTTCTATGCTCTGGAGTCCACCGAAGTCCGTTCTGTAACCCTCGGAGCAAAACTGCACTTAGATGCACAACTTGTATGTCTTTCGCTGGCATAACCTTAATGATTTGTTCCTCCGAGTATTCAATACATATCATTCGGAATAAACGAGTTGTCAATTTCATTGTGCTACTATACAAACATCATCACCAAAGGTTGGGTCTTTACTTAAGTTCGGCGAACCCGACTTGACCTTGCTCGAACTCAAAGGCTAGAATAGTCGATGATAGATTAGTGGATATCTCACTCAGAAATATCAAATCATGCGTACCCGAATATACTCCCCTAAGAAAGAGGTCGCCTACCAGCCAAGCTATAGGTTCAGGTGTGATCAACGCCATCGTCGAAAAGCAATAGAATACCTTCACTTACTGTTTACGAATTCGTTGTTGACGGCAACTCCTCCAACACAGTCTGAGGAGCCTTCAGCAACCTGCCCAAGATTGAAATTCGCTGGGCTGATTGCGAAAGGTCGACCATCAAATGTCAGACTAGCATGGACCTCAACGTTACAGGGATCTGAAGAGTTAAACAATGGGTAAGGAACACGGCAGCTGAGAAGGTCACAACTCACAAGAATAGAATCCATAGCCAACAGTTTCAGACGCATCCTTCGCGCCAGGAATGGCTGCGTAGAACTGGGCAACAATATCTGAACCTCCGTAGATCAAAGTAGTGCCTGTGTCAATTATCGCATCATAGCCCCCCGATAACGGGCTCCCGTTAACAGTGAAATCTTCGAGAGCAACTTGGTAGTAACCCTAAGCGAGATACTGAAGTTAGCCTTCAAATCTTGTGAAAGAAAGAATCTTACCCTCGTTGTCACGGGGGTCCAGACAAGGGTATCCGTATCAATCAGATCGAAGTCAATGCCGCCTACAGTCAACTGGGCTGGATCTGCAAGCTTGAAGCCAACTTGAGGAACGTCGAGCTGGCCTTGTTCATACAGGGTAAACAGGAGAGGGGTAGCCGCAAATGCAGATATTTCTGGGAAGGCCATGCCCGACAGCCCATCTGCGGGGAAATTGGAAACATCAAAGCCGTCCGAATATTGCGTTGCTGCACCGACGGTTTGCGACCGGGCCTAAGTAAGGTTGCTAAGCAAGAAGGTTGAGATACAGCATATATGGTACCGTGACTGACAGACGCGCCCTCAATAGCTACGGCATCGCTATAGAGCTCACCACTAACCGTGGAATTATCGCCGAATTTGGTGTTCCACTTCCTGTCTAGATCTTCAGACGTGGCACTCGAACTCGGGTCGTACTTGTTATGACCATTACAATTTGCGCTGGTGCAACTAGGACCTGGAAGGAAGAGATCGCTGCTGCCTGGCTGACTCAACATAATCGTCATGGTGCAAGCAAACATTCCATGCATTACCTGTATCAAAATCAACTGGGATCGCCAACGTTTAGCAAGGTGGATAAAAAGAGGATATCAAAGCTTACCTGTGAACGTTGTCGCAGGTGTACCTACGGAGATGCTACCGTACCACATGTTGTTATCGTCGTTGCTCAAGGGGATGGAGGTAGTGATTCCTCGCTTGGATTTGGATTTGCGAGCATTGGGATGCGTTGAGCCTGTATTCATTTCGTAGGCTGCGAAACCCCGCTGAAGCTTGCTATACATCGTCGAGAGAACCATACTAAGTAAATACATCGCCGACGACGGGTAATCATTCACCTGGTCGTCCTTGCAAGTTCGGAACGAAGAGCATCCACACGAACAACACCATCTGGAGTGGCGAGAGAGGAACGCTTCGCTAGAGGGACGGTTGAGGTGTCACTGCGAGCAGCAACAGAGAGCGAGAACTGAAGGACTCCAAGTAAAACGAAAGTTGCGAGACGCATTGAGAAATCTGTGGGGTAGTCTCTAATATCTATGCCCTGTGAAGACTCTTGCCTTTATATTATACAACGTTCCCGAGGTCGGATCCTATTCGCGAAATATCGGTCGAGTAGCATACTTAGTGTTGTTGTACTTGATTGAACTGACAGCATGAATGAAATGTATATGGATTTGATGTTCCGACTTGGTGTAATAGGGGGGGAATAAGAGGTCTTGGAGCCAGACATCACTAGTCACTCCCCGCGGCAAGCGGCCAAGCCCCTGCACAAGTTATAAGTCAAGTCTGGATCAAAGATGGAGTTTGGAAGGTTCGCTAGGATGATTCCTATTCTAGCCAAAGGTCGATGTAAGTATTATCGCGTGGAAACAAGCGTCTAGAACTTCGACCCAAGTCAAGCGACCAAGTCAAGAAGTGGGTATACAGAACTCACCAGAAGTTTTACAGTCTCGAAATCGGGGAGTACCAAGGAGCGGGAGTAAAGCGTGCATATTACCTAGCAGGCTACTGTATCATAATGGACCAATGTATAATATTTAGAGAAAAATATACGCACAAGCCGCAAAAGCCTCGTATCTATGAGCCTTCAAGCTTCAGCGTTAGTACGAGCTTCTTCATCGGGGCGTTCGTAAAATTGATGAACTTCAAAAGCTTCTCATAGTTGTCCGATGGAACAACTGATAATGCACCGCATGCTGCCAAGGCCTGGAATTCTACAGTTTGGATAGATAAAGACTTTTATCGAAATTCATCAAGGGAGTCAGGTATCAAATTCAATGCGCTGTCGGACTTCGAAATTGTCGCTTTACAAGTTTCACACCATCTTTTCCTTCCTTCCTTCCTTCCTTCCTTCTTAAGTTCTGATGAACGCTGGTAAAGAAGCCCATGAAAATGACCACATATTCAACTTTGCGATATTACGACCCTAGGTGTATGATAATTTGATTATGCTGCAAGCTGCGTTGGCGCAATGGTAGTTCGTCGCATGACTCGCACTTGTATTCCATTATTGTACTTGTCAATTGCAAGTAACCTCCAGACCACAATTGATGCAACGGCTGTAGCTTTCACTTGCAAGTGCATATCCTCAATGCTTTCTTCCTCTGAATGTTGCGTATCGCGTGAAAAATACTAGTTGTCGTTGCGCTACGAACTCCGAGTTGCTAGAGGCCTTTACTTTAGTTGGGCGAACCCAACTTGACCTTGCTCAAACTCGAATGCTAGAACAATCGATGATAGATTAATTGATAACACAAAGGAATATCAAAACACGCGTACCCGAATAAACACCCTTGAGAAAGACATCGCCTAATAGCCAAGCTGTAGGTTCAGGTGTGGGTCAACGCCGTCGTCTGAAAGCCAATTCAATACCTTCACTTACTGTTTCGTATCAAATTGTCGTGGATGACAACTCCTCCAACACAATCCGAGGAGCCTAAGGCGACCAGCCCGAGATTGAAATTTTCTTCCTTGATCGCGAATGGTTGGCGATTAAATACCAATGTAGCGTTGACCACAGCGTTGCAAGGATCTGAAGAAATAAAGAATCCAGGAATATGGACCGGAATGTAGCACTCACAAGTATAGAACTCATCGCCGATAGTTTCAGATGCATGCTTTGCCCCGGGAATGGCCGCATAGAACTTTGCAACGATATCTGAACTTCCGTAGATAAAAGAAGTACCTGTGTCAATTATTGCATCAAGCCCCCCTGGCATTGGGGCCCCGTTAACAATGAAATTTCCCAGAGCAATTTGGTAGTACGCCTGTGTAAGATACTCAATTAGTACATCTCTTAAAAAAGAGAGAATCTTACCTTGATTGTGACGGGTGTCCAGACGAGGGTGTCCTTATGAATCGCATCGAAGTCAATGCCACCTATAGTTAACTGGGCTTCATCTGCAAGCTTGAAGCCAACCTGAGGAACGCTGAGTTGGCCTTGTGCATACAAGGTAGATAGGAAAGGGGGCGCGTTGAATCTAGACACTGATCGAAAGGCCATGCCCAACAGCCCATCTGCAGGGAACCTGGAAAGATCAAAGCCGCCCGAATATTCCGTTGCTGCACCGACGGTTTGCGACCGGGCCTAAAGGTGGTTAAACAAGAAGACTGAGGTATAACCTATATGGTGACTGACAGACGAGCCCCCAATCGCTACGACGTCACTATAGAGTTCACCACTGGCCCTAGAATAGTCGGCAAATGCGATGCTCCACTCCCGGCCTAGGCTTTTCGACGATGCACTCGAACTCGCGTTGTACTTGCTGTGACCTCTACAGGCGCTGCTGGTGCAACTAGAACCTGGAAGGAAGAGATCGCTGCTACCTGGTTAACCATGACTCAGCATAATCGGCATGGTACAAGCATTCCATGCATTACCTGTGTCCAATTGAACTGAGATTTCCCACAATAAGTAGGAATGGCAAAAAAGAAGAATATCAAACCTGACCTGTGAAAGTTCTCGCAGGTGTACCTACAGAGATACTACCGTACCAAATGACGTCTTCGTAGTCGGTCAAGGGGATGGAAGTGGTGATTCCTCGTTTGGAGTGGGATTTGCCAGCGTTGGGATGCGGAGTGCCTGTATTTCTTTCGTAGACTTCGAAACCCCGCTGAATCTTGCTATACATATTTGAAAATAAATAATGTAACATCGCTGAAGATGAATAATTATTTCACCTGGTTGTCCTTGCAATTTCAGAACGAAGAGCATCAACACGAACAACACCATCTGGTGTGGTGAGAGAGGAA